GGCACCTCTTAAATGAGGAGAGGGTGCTAAGAATCCCCCGGAGGAAAACAAAAAGACATGGAATGTGAGAAGTCTATATGAAGCGGGAAAGGCCGCAAATTTAATTCAAGAAATGGAAAGACTTGATATCGATATACTGGGATGCAGTGAGGTAAGATGGCCAAATACAGGTACCTGTGTGATGGGCAACTATACAGTATTCTATTCTGGAGATGAAGGCACTCAAAATAAAAACGGTGTAGCAATAGTTACATCTAATGAAATTGCAAAATTAGTTTCTGGATTACTACCAACATCAAATAGAATAAAGCTAATAAAAATAGACAGCAAACCATCGATATGAATATTATCCAGGTATATGCCCCAACTAGTCAAAGCACAGAAGAAGAAATAGAACAGTTTTACGAAGACCTAAACAAAACTCTACTGCAAACAAATAAGCATGAAACCAACATAATATTAGGAGACTTTAACGCCAAGATTGGAAAAGAAAAGAAGATGACACGGTGGGGGAGTTTGGCCTCGGAATAAGAAATGAGAGGGAGAATAGACTGCTTCAGTGCTCTTAAGAAAATCAGTACAGTATAATGAACAGCTTTTTCAAGTTACCACCCAGACGTCTCTACACGTGGAAATCTCCAGCAGATGGAATAGAAGGACGCATCACAAGAAATCAAATCGATTACATAATGTTCAACAAAAGATACAAAAACGCAGTAAAAGCATGTAAGACATACCCCGGAGCTGACATCCCCACCGACCACAATCTTCTTCTTACAACAATTAGGATAGAATTTAAAGGAACAAAAAGAAATCAGCAAATAATAGCTATTAACCCAGATAAGCTTAAAGAAGAATCCACTAGTAATAAAATACGGGAAGAAATACATAGACACTTGAGTAACAGAACAGTACAATCGACACAAACTCCCGAGGAAGACTGGCACTATATTGAGAAAACACTTACAAGAGTAACAAACCATGGATGACAGAAGAAATTCTAAACATGATGGACATAAGAAGAAAATACAGAGGTAAAAATGAAATAACATTCAAGCAAATACACAAGAATATCAGAATAAAGATCCAACAAGCCAAAGAAACCTGGCTAAGTGAAAGATGCCAAGAAATTGAAGAGTTGGAACAAAGACATGATACTTTCAATCTACATAAAAAAGTAAAAGAAGCCGCTGGAATATTTAAACAAACTCCTACGTTATTCATCGAAGATAAACATGGGAACGCGCTACTGAACAGAGGAGATCAAATAGGTAGATGGAGAGAATACGTGGAAGAGATGTTTCAAGACCGAGAGAGGACGAACATTTACATGCAGGAGGCATCGACTGGACCTTATATCACAAAGCAAGAAATTACCAAAGCGGCAAATCAGATAAAGAACGGAAAAGCTGTTGGGGAAGATAATATCCCAATTGAAATAATAAAGATATTACTAGACGAACACATCGAAGTAATGGAAGATATATTTAACAAAATATACGAAACAGGCATAATACCAAATGATTGGCTGACATCGGTGTTTATACCACTAACAAAGAAGAAAAACTCTAAGAAATGTGAAGACCATAGGATTATTAGCCTGATGAATCATATATTAAAACTTTTCCTACGAGTAATACACAATAGAGTATACAAAAAACTAGACGAACACACTGGTCAAACTCAGTTTGGTTTTAAGAATGGGTTCGGAACAAGAGAAGCACTTTTTTCAATACGTGTGCTAGTTGAAAGATGTAGAGATGTCGATTCTGATGTATATTTGTGTCTTATATACTTTCAGAAGGCGTTTGACCTGGTGAAACATTATAAACTAATAGATATTTTAAGGTCATATGTAATATTGACGATAAAGACTTAATTATCATTTCAAACCTCTATCAAGAACAAAAGGCTAAAATCAGAATAAAAAGCGAAACATCTGGAAAAATCAATATCGAGAAGGGAGTAAGACAGGGATGTGTCCTATCACCTTTGCTGTTTAATGTTTACTCTGAGAAGATATTTCAGAAAGCTTTGGAAGGCATCTCGGATGGTACAATTATAAACGGGCAATGTATAAGTAACCTGCGATATGCTGATGAGACTGTCATACTGGAAAATATTGCTGAAGCCCTGCAACGCTTAATGGACCGAGTAACGACAGCCTGTAGAGAATTTGGAATGAAATTGAATACAAAGAAGACAAAAACGACGATCATCAGCAAGCACCAAAACAGAAGGGTGAAGGTCAATGTCGATGGAACAGATCTGGATAGAGTAACAAGAACAACGTACCTTGGAAGTAATCTTGATGAAACTTGGGACCACTCACTAGAGATAAGAATACGCCTGGAAAAGGCACGTAGAATGTTTTACAAAATGCAAAAAGTTCTATCAATTGCCAGCTGGGCATCTCATTAAGAACTAGAATACTTAAGTGCTATGTTTTCTCCACCTTGCTCTATGGTGTTGAAGCCTGGACAATGATAGAAGCAACACAAAAAAAATCCAAGCATTCGAACTCTGGTGTTACCGTAAAATGCTCAGAATATCCTACATGAGCCATACGAAGAATGCTGAAGTCTTGCGGAGGATGAATAAGGAAAGAGAGCTTATGCTTACAATAAAAGAACGGAAAACACAATATTTTGGTCACATCATAAGAAGTCAAAAGTATGAACTGCTCCAACTTATAATCGAAGGCAAAGTCAATAGCAAAAGAGGACCAGGAAGAAGACGCAACTCTTGCAAAAAAAATCTTGCAACTCTTTCTAAAAACCTACGGCCATGGACGAACATGACCTCCATAGAACTATTCAGAACTGCTACAAATAAGATTAAATGGGCAAATGTAATGGCCAACGTCCTTAAGAATAAGGCACCGTAAGAAGAAGATTGGTTAAGTGCTATCATTTGAGATATCGTACGTCACTATTGGCCTAATAGGACCAAAGGTACATAACTAAGGCCCTTTTGAGATGCAACTCCATTACCTCATTGTATCTCATTGTATTTTATTTGTTAAATCCTTTCATTTGAGGTACTGCACGTTATGATTGGACTAACAGAACCGAAGATACACAACTAAGGCCCTTTTGACACTGTGCTGTATTTCATTTTTCTATCCCATTGTATTCTTTACGTTAAATCTTATCATTAGAGGTACTATACGTCACGATTTTACTAATAGGATCAAAAATACGTGACTACGGCCCTTTTGACATGTTGCTGTATTTGATTTTTCTATTTCATTGTTTTCGATTGGTTAAATCCTATCATTTGAGATACTGTACGTCACGATTGGACTTATAGAAACGAAGATATATAACTAAGGCCTTTTTGACATGCTGCTTTTCTGTCTTATTGTATTTTATTGGTTAAATCCTATTACTTGAGGTGCTGTACATCACGACTGGACCAATTGGAGCAAAAATATGCAATATATACCCCGTTATATATACCCAATATGTAACCCGTTATTTTTAATCAAACAAGATGCTAGAATGATTTATGGATGAAAAAAATATATATAAATTCTTAAATTTACTATTTCGTTGTGGGTAATATTATATTCAATAGCGATGCCAAATTTCTGATGCCAAAATGATTGATAATGAAAGTGCGATATACATTTTCATGTATATAATGGCAGCGAGTAAACGGTAAAACCCTGAACTAAATATATATAATATTTTCACTGTACCATCATTTTAGACTGAAACATTTCCTGGAATAAACTTATATAACTCAGTAAGGGATAAAAAGAGAAAGCGGACATTTTAAAATACCAACACGGTATCAAATCTCTAATCATTGAGATGGTTAAAATTCTTGTAACAAGTACAGGAAAAAAGTTATTAAGGTCTTGTAAAGTAGCGTCGATATACAGATGCTACTTTGCAAGACGATGCTAAATTGATGGTAAAAGCATAATGTATCGATGCCAAAATGATAGTAGGATGTATATATATATATATATATATATATATATATATATATATATATATATATATATATATATATATATATCGGAAAAAGGAGTACGACCGTCAATCCAATATAATATATAAGGATCACTCAGACGAGTGGTGGGTTCTTATATCGGTCTCTAGGTGGAGAAATAAAAGACAAAGTTGATAGGCTACTTTATCTATTTTGAAGACGTTTCGCTTTCGAGTTTTGAAAGCATCATCAGTTCATCTAAAAAATTATTACAATATGAGAACCACACAATCACGGAAACGATGTTAATTGTTACCTTAAAAAGATATGTAGCAGTCTCAAAATAGATAAAGTAGCCTATCAACTTTGTCTTTTATTTCTCCACCTAGAGACCGATATAAGAACCCACCACTCGTCTGAGTGATCCTATATATATATATATATATATATATATATATATATATATATATATATATATATATATAATATATATATAAACAGATGACTCCCTTGGGTGTCTATGCAGACTTTGAGGCAATGTTACAAAAAATTAAAAATAGTCCACTTCAAAGTAAAACAATTAAACATCAGAAGCACAAAGCCTTTAGTGCCGGTTATTACCTAAAATGTCCTTATGATGAATCGTTATCTTTTTATCGAAGCTACGCAGGTACAGATTGTTTAGATTGGTTTGCCGCAGAAATGGCAGAGTTAGCTATGTTTGTACAGAAGAAGATAAAGCATATTGTACCCATGAATATTAAGCCAAACACTAATGGTGCAACGACCAGTCATATTTATGAAAAAACATTTTCAAAAGAAGATCTGGTTGTGACAGATCATTGTCACTTTACTGGAGATTTTCGAGGATTTCTGCACCAGGTGTGTAACCTCAATTTTAGAAAACTTTTTGTAATTCCCATATTTTCCATAATCTTAGCGGTTACGATTCACACTTCATCATACGAGATCTGGCGAAAAAAAAAAGCATCAGTCTACTTCCAATAAACAAGGAAAAATATATTTCCTTTACTCTAGACGATAGACAATCCAAAGTTATGTTGAGATTCGTTGATTCATTGAGATTTTTAAATTCATCATTGGACAAGCTAGCCGTCACATTAAATGTCGAGAATTTAAGATACTTAGCTCGAGAATTTCCCCAGGCTACTCCTGAACAAATAGAGTTATTGCGAAGAAAAGGTATATTCCCCTATGAGCACATCGATACTATGGATAGATTAAAGGAAACTCATATTCACTATTCGATGAAAATCTAATAGCGATTGAATTAAACAAAACAAATCTAATTTTCAACAAACTATTATATATTGGAATGGCTATTCTAGACATATCCAAAGTTTGTATGTATGATTTTCATTATAATTTTATGTTACCAACTATCGGAACTGAAAATTTAAAGCTAATGTACGGTGATACGGATAGTTTTGTATATGAAATATCATGCGATGACGTTTACAGAGATGTCATTAAAGCGCATCTGTCTAAATTTGATACATCCGACTATGCTGGAAACAATCCATATCAAATACCACAAGTAAATAAAAAAAGTATTGGGTCTAATGAAGTGAGAATGACTCATTGTGTAGGGCTTAGATCTAAAATGTACTCATTCAAATTACAATATACGGACGAGGAGCGAAAGACGTGGCAAAGCTACAAAAATAGCATAGATGATGGTGCTATTGAAAAAATCGTAAATAACTTGGGTGTCACGAAAAAATCTAAAGGTGTTAAATATTCGGTAGTAAAAAACAGCATTACATTTGAGGATTACGTGACGTGTCTAAAAGAATTTACCTCAAAAAACGTGAAACAATCAACATTTCGTTCCTACGTACATAACGTGTTTACAATAATACAAGAAAAAATTGCCTTAAGTCCACATGACGATAAACGGTATTTACAACAAAACTCATATGATACTCTTCCGTGGGGTCATTATCTCACTACAATGATAGAATAAACGATAAACGGTAAAATAGTAATGACTGTAACAACAATAAATGTAAAACTTGATGTGCTCCAACTATCTCTTAATATTATATATTATATTATGTAGGCAAACAATAATATATATTATGTAAGCAAACAATAAAAAATTAATAAATATTTAATTTTAGAATTTTTGAGTTTTATTATTCTTATCACCTATAAGGATTAGGAAGAAAAAGAAAAAACAACTGATAATAGTAGTAAAAAATTGTTCCTTTATTTAAATATTATTTCATGAAAAGAAAGAACTAACTTTGGACAATAAAAATTTTAACTGTTTAACTAAGTTTCCATCAGGACATGGTATTCCCAATATATTCCAATTAAATGGACCAGTTTCCACAACATTTCTTGTAAATTCATTATATTTGTAGTAGGTATTTCCCTCCAGAAAATAAATATTTCCATCTATATATCTAAAGGATGACTTAATCTCCCGTGGTACTCCTGGAAAAACATCTTCTGTACGACCTCTGCTAACAATCTTTTCTGTAATTTCATCAAACTCAATGAATAAATCTCCGTTATACTAAATATATGTCTTTCCCGTGTTTGTTTGAAAGACTGTATTTATTGTAACTTTATATGGTAGTTGCAACAAAGGTAAGTCTCTTAATATATGTAGACTGGGAAAAGAAACATAATACATTCTTTTGCCACTTATTACAATCAAATTTCCTATTCTGTTTTGGAACACATGCGAAATGTTTGATATCCCACTTGGTAGATATTCAGTCAATGCCTCTGGAGCATAAGGTACTTTTCTGTCAATCAGATCTGTTTTCCACAACAAACCATCACTAGCAATGTATACACGATAATGTTTAAATTCTGGGCTATATGCCAAAAATACTAAATCCGGATATTCTACTTCACACAAATTAATAAACTTTTCATTAAAACGCGTAGGTGTAGTAGTCTCTAACTGAGGCTTAGTTAACCGAGTAGTCTTGAATGAGGATGATGATGGTGGTGATGTAGTCTTAAATGACGATGATGGTGATGGTGAGGGTGACGATGTAGTGTTGTTGAATGTATTAAGAATTTTTACAAATTTACGCTTAACACCATATAAATATTCCATTCCATTAATATCGTCTTGACTTATATTTATACTTTTCTTCTGATACCACGGATACATTATGGAATCCGGAACACTACTGTGTGCTAAACCTAAGCTATGACCGATTTCGTGAACAATAACCATGAAAAGGTTGGTTTGACTGTCATCTGTCACATTTAAATCATAACTCCAATTCTCCTCAATATCCAAATATACAGTGATGAGTGCCTTACCACCCGGCTTTTTAACGTAAGAGATAGAAAACACAGTTACCTTGTGAAATAAAAAGAGATGAAACTCGTCGATGTGGGAAATAATCGATAGAAACCTATAATTTACATTACATTACCACTATCGATAGTCTCACACCTTTAGACGTTAGCTTCGAGCTAACTAGTATAAGAAGTGTTTAAAGTTGCTTTAAAACCCGGCAAAATAGGGGAAAGGATAGGAGACGGATTTTGTGAGATAGAATGAGATAAAGCTAGTTCTTAGACGTGGCTATTTGTCTTCAGTCATAGTTATATGGATGACCTCGAAAATATGTTATTTTAATAATTTCTGATGTTAGAATAAATGATTAAATAAATTAAGAATTAAAGTAAAAAACATTAATTAGTAGCGATTTTAAATTATAAATCTTTAAGTTTATTTAATAATAAAAATAACTCAATTGAAATATTTGACTAAACTAAAGGTAGGTATGTTCTGTCCGAAAACAATTATTGTATGTGGAATTGGTGTAATACTTAGAGACGTGGTCTATTGACAAGAAGATTGGGGTTCAATTCATACCAAGGATAAAATTTTTGTTTTACTCAATCAAAAAATAATAGAAAATATGATACATATTAGGTAACAAGTTTTCGAAAAACTCATTATTTACAATTTATTCTTAATCCAATGTTATAAAATGGAAATACAAAATAATTCAAATTCAGAAAGATATTTATGTTTAACTTTAAACACTTCTAATAATACTAGTAACGACTGACATAAATGTTTAGTGATTCAAATCAAAACGATCTCTGCATAATTTCAAATTATTAAAAAAACACATCTGGGTTTTGAACTCTAATCGTCTGCGTCACAGTGTCGAATTCTTACCACTAATCCACGAAAGATTGATATTTATTCCGTGACAAGAGTATATAAAACTCCTCAAATCATAGTAGAAATTATTCTTTAGATTAAATAATCACTATTAATTATTTATTTTATTCACATTTTTGCTTTATTGTGGTCAATCAGTATTTACTTTATGCGAAATTAAAAAATGGAAATACGTTACACATACGACGTCACACATAATAATTATGACCGAGGTGATTTAGCTCGAAGCTAGCGTCTAAAGGTGTGAGACTATCGATAGTGGTAATGTAATGTAATGTAAATTATAGGTTTCTATCGATTATTTCCCACCTCTACGAGTTTCATCTCTTTTTATTTTACAAGGTAACTGTGTTTTCTATCTCTTACGTTAAAAAGCCGGGAGGTAAGGCACACATCACTATATTTCTATGCAACTATCTGGTCCTGTTGGAAAATTGGCATGAGCCAAAACTTTTCCAAGTCCATCAAAATTATGTGGACACTTTTCTCTTCCCATGGAGATTCCACGATATGTGTGGCTCTTGGGGACTACAGTTATGGTTATATCAGGTGCAGGATCTGCAATAAGAACTCTGGTAAAATGCAATTTTGAAACATAAAAGTTCACACATATTCAAAGCTCTCTCAGTCAATGCAATTATTCAGGTTTTAGATGTCCTTGGGGAAAATACCAAACAAGGTTGGTCTTATTCCATCTCCTTGGAGTAGAAGAAAATAAATTTTCTCCAGTTTGACATCGAGGTTTCTGCATTAATGATTTTGTTTCCTCATTTAGCTTACCATTTACCAGTAAATTATATTCTTCTTGAAAATTTATGAGTGTTGTCTGAAAGTCCACCTGAGAGTTTTTATCCGTATACCCATATCGCAACAGAAAAGATTTTGCATCAGACTCTGAGAAACTTTCTGCTGTTGTCACTATGAAGCACAACAACAATAGAGAGAGATGACTTCCAACCATCATCGTTGATAGAATGAAACTGATAAGTAATATTACATCAATACATACACATACTTTAACAGAGTGAAATTATATCTACGTCAAAAGTGACAAAAAATGTGATGTCATTTTCACTTTCACGTGCAAAAAACTAAGTGTAATTATGTCAACGTCAAAGTGACAAAAAACGATGTCATAATTGATGTCAAAATTACCACTTGCAAAGTAACCAAAATATGTTTATTCCCCATATAAATCAATGTAAAATATCACCCAGAATACAAATTTTTGTGTAAAAAATGACATCAATTTGGCGTATGTGATTTTACGTACGTGAACATGTTGAAATATGATATCAAAATTGCCACTTGTAAGATAAATTTGACCATTCAAATTGATCTTACAAGTGGCAATAATTTTATACGTCAAAATTGTCACATGTCATGTCAATTTCGACACATGTAATGTTCTGTGCGTCTTAGACATATTGTTGTTACAAGAAAATAAAATACACAGTTAAATATATAAGCGATTTATTGAAAAATAATAAAATTATCTATATCTATCATTACAGTTTGCTTATAATAATAAATATATTATCTTAACGCTAGACTTAATATACATGTATTTGAAGATTCACAAAATAAATACAAAGTTTCTATATGAGTAACTTTATTGTTATACAACTTGGAAATTCTTAAGACGTTTGTATAATACAGTGGAAAGTCTTGTTTTTGTCTCAATGTATAAAAATTGACCACATTTTGTTGGAGAACCATTATTTTCAACATCACCAGTCACAGCAACAAAGAACTCATCATATTTAGCATAAACACAATCCATAAACTGTATCCACTCATTCAAACCAAAAGATATTTGTCCAATATCAAATCTTCAGAATTTATATCCGAAATTGGACAGTATAATTTTATCACCTAGTAGACCGAATGAATTTATTTTTTATTAAATACACACACGTAGTTAATTAGGTTACATACACATTTGGTCAATCATCAATAATATAATTTGGACATCAGTCAAAAGTGCTGACAAAAGTTAAACAATTTACATAAATTAGATACACATATCACGCGAGGTCCGCGAATATATTGACCCAATTAAAACTTATATAAAACTAAGACCCCTTGCCTAGAGAAGCATTCAATCAATATTCACTAAACAAACTTGATAGTCTTCAACGATCAACTTCATCAGTCTCTACTCAAAGTAATCCCGGGTCAACACCCATAGTATACGTCTCATCAATAAACTCTGCTACTATTATTTGGTGTTTCCATTACAACTGAACGAACATCTTCACTGAGCCAACGAAGGGAAATTTGTTCATGGTCCTATCGAGAAACAGAATACTTCAAGGAAGTATGAGAGAGCCTATACAGTCCACGCTAGCAACACCCTCAGTAGCAGCGAGAGACCACTAGACCCGGGAGAACGAGAGCAGTACCAAAGTCGAGAGCCATACTAGAGCCGAGAGCAGTACTAAAGCCGAGAGCAGTACCAAAGCCGAGAGCCATACTAGAGCCGAGAGCAGTACCAAAGCCGAGAGCCATACTAGAGCCGAGAGCAGTACCAAAGCCGAGAGCCATACTAGAGCCGAGAGCAGTACCAAAGCCGAGAGCAGTACCAAAGCCAAGAGCCATACTAGAGCGGCAGAACAGCCAAAGGACAAAGAACAAAAAACCGTAAGTTTTTGAATAATTACAAAATCTTCCAACTTTTACAATCTTACAATTTAACAAGTTTTTATTACAATTTAACAATTTAGAACAACAATCTCCACTCTATCAATCGTATAATAATGTACTTTAGAGTGTATACCATTTAAATAATACAGAGAATTGATAAAACAAAAATAAACGTCATTCACAGCTAAAATTTACTAAACAGTAATTTTGTATGACAATTTGAAAAAAGAAACGTTTATATATATGGCTTGGTT